ATAATAATATATAAATAAAAAAATAGTATATTTGGAATTTTGAAATCCGTCTAATTCCTATGTCGCTGTCACAATTTTTTTTTAGATGTATATATATAAATTCTCTCTAGGAGTTAAATCTATGATAAAACAAAATCAACAATAAGTATATATGAATTTTTGAACTGCATTCTGAATTCTATTGGTCGTTTGGTAATACTTACATTTCAGTTTTCTGTTTATATTACAAAAATTTTAAAAAACTCAAATAAAAAACTGTTTGGTAAAATTTTTGATTTATAAATCAATGCGCTCAGTTTATAAATGGCCAAAAAAATAAAAACACAAAAAATGGTTTCGTTTTGAATTTGAGTTTTTTTATTTATTATAACTCATTAACGACATTTGTGTTTTTAATTTCATACGTTTCTAGTACATAGGCACCAGCCTGCTTACGATTTTCCCCACGCTTCCGGCACCACTACCCACCCCACCACCCACCCGTGCCACCACCACCACCAGCCCACCTGTCCCACTATAGCCACCAACCCACCTGCCACCCCATTCGCCGCCACTACACCCCTTGCCGCCGCCGCCGCGCTCCCCCACCACACTACAACCACTACCACATCACCTACCACCACACGCCACCACATACTGCCCATCACCACCTACCACCCGCGCACCTGTCACCCCCCACCCACACCACACCACCACCACCCTCACTCTGCCACCCCATCACACCACCCACTTGCTACCACCCTACCACTACACAGTCACCCACCCACCCACCACCCACCCCACCACTCCGCCATCGCCACCCACCTGTCACAAACACCACCCCACCACACCACCACCCACCACCGTCAACGCCCATCTACCCGACCACCACGCACCCGCCACCCACCTCACCACCACCACCACATCACCACCCACTCGCTACACGCCACCACCCGCCACCGTCAATCCATCACCACCACCACCATGACCCGTCCCTTACCCGTCATCCACTACCAGCCGGCGAACACAGAATGTACAACCACCCGTCCCCACCCCACCGCCCGACACTCGACACCACCACACCGCCACCCGCCACCGTCACCCACACACCACCCACTCGCTACCACCCCACGCAGCGCGGCCATCCGCCACCCACTTGCCACCGACACCCCAACCTCCCGTCGTCGCTGCCACACATGTGATAACGTAATCCAGGCTTAGCAACGGATGCACTACCCACCTCCGCTACCACCCGCCCCACTTTGCACCACCACCACCCACTCGCTACGACACACCCGCCACCGTACCACCCACCCACCACCACCACAACACCCACCGCTACCACTGCCATCGGCCATTAACGCCACCCAACCTGCCATCGCACCACCCCCACCTCCTGCCGCCACCACCACCACCCACCGCTTACCACTGCCACCGTCACACCTACCACACACCCACCCACCGGCACCACCCACCGCACCAGCTACCCCACACGCACCATCAACCATTTTTTCAACCACCGTCTAAGTTAGATTACACCGTCTTTCGTCGTCACTTGCCACCACTTGCCATTTCTCACTCTTTTTTATATTTTTAAATTTTTTTAAATATTTTATCAATTACCAAATGTGTTTGTAGTTTATGTTTTTCTAAAAATAAACAAAAAAAATAAACAAAAACCAGTTTATAAAGTTTTTGTAAATATAAACTGAAAACGTAAACGTTACCAAACACACCCTATGTATTTGATGTGTCACCAAATTTTTTGAGATTATACAACAAATTCTCTCCAAAAGGTTTAAACAAGAAGAATAATAAAAAAAAAAAAAATACTAAAACAATCAAAATTGCTTAAAATATAAGAATAATAAAAACAATAATCTACATTGAAGTCTTTTGGGAAGAGGGTAAAAAGTCAACCTTTAGTTTTTTATCTATTTTGAGTCACATCACCTCTCATATTTTTTACCTACAAAAACACAAAATAGACTAAAAAAAGCTAAAAAGTCAACTTTTTACCAACTTCTCAAAACACTCTATTATATGCTTTCTATTATATGCTTTCGATGAAAATCACTGACACCATTGTCAGTGGGACCTTGAATCCGGGTTGATTTCAAAGAGATCGCCCACAGATGTGGAGGAAGAACCAGTCTCTGTTCGGACTGTAGTTGAATTCTCTGTTTGGCTTCTGCTGACATTGTGGTTTTGTTTTTCTTGATGAAATTCTCTCATGGCTTTAAACCTCAAATCTTCAGTATATGAATTCAGGTTTGGGGTTATGTCAGGAAGACTCATTCGGCCTTCAAACATGCTCACTACCTCAGACATTGTAGGCCTAAGCGTCGGAGATCCATCTGTACACAATAGTGCTATTTTAACCATCCTTTCTGCTTCTTCTTTGTTGACTTCGGGCCCCAGCTTTGGATCGACAAGGTCCAACAAGTTTCCATCTTGTTGCAAGCGGCAAGACTGTGTATAAGTAACATGTTTCATTTTACAGAGAAAATGAAAAGGAAAAATTCAGAAAAATAAATGATTAACAAGAATGTTCAATGGTTAGTAGCAGGAAACACATACTGGGGTGATGATTCTTATTCAGAAACTCGATTCTACCCTCCTAGGAAGAAACTCACTCCCAATTCTCAAACATGCAAATCTCAAAGGAACAAAAGAAAAACAATTCAAATTTATTCTAATACTTTCTATTTACATAATATTTATTTATCTTGGACAAATTGTAGTTGACATCAATCTTTAATAGTTATTCATATTTTAACAAATATTACAAGTAAAAAAAGAAAAAATATTTGTTAAAGTATATTTATATATTTAATATATCAAATATATACACACTCCCATAAGTGCTCACAATCATAGAAACTTCTATACGCCCTCACTCTCTCCCGCCCTTGCTCCCAACCCCGACTGCGCTTAGTGTATCGAAAGTTCAATGCCTGTCATGCAAACATTCAAGCTAGCCTTTGTCCTAGCAAACAGAAAAATATTGAAGACTGATGTATATCAAAATGATCAAGGAACCGAAGTAGTTAAGTACCCAATCCAGCAGACAGAAGCAATCGCTATTTGGGATGTAACTGTTATTGTTCTTTCCGCTAACAATTTCCAAAGTCACAACCCCAAAGCTATAAACATCTGCCTTGTCGGTCAAGTAACCCCAAAGTGCATATTCCGGGGCCATATATCCTCTGCAAATCACAATTTTGATGTCTTATTCAACATCCAAAAGTCACTCATTTATAGCATTTAACCATGTTTAGGGTACAAAATAAAAGACAGTCTATTTGGAAAGGGCAATGCGACTTACATAGTTCCAGCAACTCGAGTGCTAATGTGGCTTTTTTCATCTTCATTAAGCCTAGCCAATCCAAAGTCGGAAATTTTTGGGTTTAGGTTTTCATCAAGCAACACGTTAGTAGCTTTAATGTCTCTGTGAACAATCTTGAGTCTTGATTCCTCATGTAGAAAAGCTAAACCTCTAGCAATCCCAATGCAAATCTTAAGCCTTGTTGGCCAATCAAGTATCAGTTGGCAGTCATCTGGATTTGAACATTACACGACACTCCAAACATTGATACAAAACTATATAATTAAGGTTAATAAAAGCATTGTCAGCAATTCTCATATTAAATGTTTGGCAATCAAGAAAACAATAGAACTTACCGAATAAACTATGGGCGAGGCTATTGTTTTCCATGTATTCATATACCAATAACAATTGGTCCTCTTCAATACAACATCCATGAAGCTTAACAAGATTTGGGTGTTGTAAGCAGGAAATCATGCCCATTTCATTCAAAAATTCACGATTTCCTTGATTTGATTTAGAGGAGAGTTGCTTCACTGCAATTACAGTACCATCAGACAATCGACCCTGCACCCAACATTTACTCAGAATCTATGCATACAATCTAAAAAATAAAATGGATTTGTCATGGGCTCAGCTAAAACACCTTGTAGACAGGACCAAAACCACCTTCCCCAATCTTGTGTGAAGAATCAAAATTGTCAGTGGCAGTTTTAATCTGCTTCAAAGTAAAAGTACCTGTTTGCAACTCTAGACCATCAAAATCTGTGAAGGAATGATATATATATTATCAGCCTCTAATGCTTTCACTTGTATTTTATGTATCCACTCAAATTTTGGAAATAAAGAAAAATTTCAACACAATCATAATTGGTTTCGGGAAAGGGCGAAAGGAAAAACATAATAGAATTTTAATTTGAACAACCTTAGTACAAAAATCCAGATGTATCTTACAATCTGTTTTTTACCCGGGTCTGACTTTCAACGCACGCATTCTGAGGCAATGGTTGCAATATATTCAAATGAACACATGCATCTAATAATTGAATCAAATGAGAAGTTTTGAAGCTCATGACCTTTAATAAGTTCTTGGAAAGTTAAAAAAGTATTGTTGGTGTAAAGGTTGTTAAAATCGGGATTCTACGTTGGATCGTTGGAGGTGTTTATAGGATCGGATCGTAGAATCGGATCAAGGATCGTAAGATCCTATCGAAAAAGACAAATTACATAATAATTTAATTTAAATAAATATTTCTTATAAAGTGTACACAAAATGAACTTATATTTTATTAAAAAGAAGTGAAGCTATTGTGAAAAATATAATACTCCATGTAAAATGTACATATAATATTATGCAATAGAAAACTCGATAGTAAAAGTTCTGTATTTTATCAAAAAAGAAGGTGAAGAAGAAGAAGAATTTTATAACAAAATACTTTACAATGTACAATAATGCATAAAAAGTGAAGAAAAAATATTTAACAAAATTGGATATGAAAATAAATTAAGAACTCAAAAGAGTAGCTTAGTCGAATGATAAGGTTTGTCGTTAGCATTTCTGGTGGAGCGGATTCGAGTCACAAAAATAATTTCTCCAGAAATTGGGATAAAGTTACAATCATCTTACCCTTCTTAGACTCTGCTAAAGCTAAGTTTGTTTTTCCGACTATTTAATTTTCTTAAATTACCGCAATATTTGAGTGTTTGTTTCCTAGTTTGTTTTTTTTAGTCTATTTGATTCAATACTACTTAATTTTTATTATTTATTTTGACAACATAAATTGATATTTAGACAACAAATATAAAATTTACAATAAACTAAGTCATACAATACAAAACAAGGCTTGTAAATTGGATCGGATAGGATCGGACTCGGATCGGGATTCCACGATCCTATAAGATCCCACTACCAGGATCGAAAGATCCTACCTATAAGGAGTTTTTTACACGATCCGGATCGATTGCACTTAAATAGATCGTAAGATTGTAGGATCGTAAGATCCGGATCGGGATTCTGATAACCATTGAGCAGTAAGTACACGATTTCATCCAGTGCTCACCTTTTCCATTCCTATTTCTGCCTTTCGAATAGCCCTTCCACCAAAGGATACCGACTACTACAAATGTAACGGATATTGCCACAACTCCAATGGTAACATAAACAGCAACCTTCTTCTTTCTGCCATCTGAACAAAATTTGAAATCTGCCCAAAAGAACAAACCCAAGCAAGTACACTAATGAAAAAACAGTCAACATAAACACAACCAAAAAATTTAACAAGGAGACATTCATGTGATAATTTAGGCATAATTCTTAAATATTTTTTCCTTGCATGGCCTCCTGCCACCAAGATATACTCTGTAATAGTCATATAAATGCATAGAACATACTGTCTTGGAATAGAGAACTCAAGAAAAAGCATTAGAAAGTTCAAAGTAAAATCAGAAACATGGATTAATTGTTTGGTGTTGCATAAGGCACTGGCTACTTAGTTCCATAATGACACAATTGCCAGTGTGCCTCAAAATAATGTATTCCAGGAAACCGTACTTTGAACTATATATTTATACATAGAGAATATAACTCACAATATAAGAAAACAGAAAGAGAAAAAATTACTTACTAGGATTAACCGAAATAGCTGATATTAAGGGGCCATAATCACCTCTATCGGGAATACGTGTAGTCCCCTTGCCAGCCCAGTAAAATCGAATCTCCAAAATATTATCTGTCACACTGGCATTAAATTGTTTTGTTACTTGCTTTTGAACCCCACCAGCCTCATCTTCAATATTGAAATCCTTCCTAACTATTTTTTCCTGACCAAAAACAAAATTAAAAATAAGAAATTTTGTCACACCCCAAATCCAGGCATGATCGGCCGTGGCCCACAGGGACTAAGCCCAAGGCACACGTAAGCCTTAAACACAAATCCATAATCACATTGAACAACTATACAATAGTCCAATAATAAATAATCAAAACTCAATCCAGAGACATGCCACAATTATAAACGGCAAAACCAACCGTAATCAATACTATTTAAACTTATGGGATATAAACAGCCCACATATCAATATAATCCTAAGTGAACCTCAATAAGAATAAAAAGAAATATGCACAAACTTGACATAGCAATCTAAAACAAAATAAATAAACGTCCTAGAGGTCCATGCAATTGAGTCCCCACTATGCCACAAGTCCACTCTAAGTCCTTCTAACACCTGGAAATGATAAACAACTAAGTCAGCTGATAGTTCAGTGAGTAGCAACATGGATAATATATACAGTTTTGAAAACAGGGATCAATTTCAATATAAGGTATATATCACAAAAACTAGATTGGCATACAATTTGGTAAAGAGAATCTGTTTCAAAAAGAATGTTCCACAGTTCAACAGTTAAAATACTTATGTCTCTCAAGAACATGATAAATGACATTTTCCACTTAAAACAGATTACAACATGAACACCAATAATTTTATGGGTACCACAAAATAACAAGTAACATGCCACACAATTCTCAAGGCTATAAGCCCCGTTGGATCCAATACCGAACTAAGAGTCATCTTCAGGGTGGCAACCTGGGCCTTTTCTCTAAGACAATCCGATTGAAGGTCACCTAGCTTAACCTAGGTCTTTTCCTTATAATCGTTGAGCACTAGAGTCATCACGGCCCAACCCGGATCTGTTCCCTAGTGGCCAGAGTCACCACACACAATGGAATAATTTCCCTGAACTAAAATACACAAATGGTCCCAATAATCAATACACATCAGTTTCGCAAAACATGGTAGTTCACAATTATAAGTATGAGACCAAAAACAAATAGTTTACAGTATGCCAAGTTTACACATATTTCAGAAATAATTTAATTCCATTGATAATATAATAGATTATCAAAACAGTTAAGTCCTGAAACAACAATTTAATTTTTTCAACAGTTCAGGGTAGGGGAACATTTATAAAAATATGTAACATGAAACTACTCACCTGGAAACGAAATAATGTAATCCTCAAATAGAGTATAAAAGTCCAACCAGTGCCCAGAACTAAGTATAAAAACTACACGTCACTACTAATTTAAAAATACTGAAAAATAGGAACTAAGTAACCTCAACTAAAGCGCACTAACATGGCTCAACCCAACTCACCTTTATTCTTAAATATTACCTAAGTTCATGTTCTTCAAGGTCTAAAATCACCGAAGACATGGGTTCAAATCGAAACTTAATTAAAAGTAACTTTAAGACAAAATAGAATTTTAAACAAGTTTTCCCGATCTATTCGCTAACTTTGAAAATTGAAAAGAATTGATATCTCACCATTAGGGTTTTATCCTCCTATAAATTTTCAAATTGAGCCCTTACTAACTATATTATTATTATTTAAATATTTACTTGATTTGTATATTCGGGTTCTCACAAATTTGATTGTGAATTCATTATAACTTGATAAAATGTTTATAGACATAATAAAATTACCTGAATATGAATATCAAATATCCGCCTCCCAAGACTGCTATATGTCTCGTTTGTAAATTGTATTTCCGCGAAGTGCAGAGTAACAGTGTAATTCCCATTTTCTAAACAGTACCCAAAGTAAGTGAGTGAAAGCGGAGAAAGGCGCGCCGTACTATACAATTCAGAGACGTTTGTCGATGACACAGCTTTAATAAATCGTGCATTAAGGTAATCATTATCATCCATGAAGTCCCCAGTGCTACTGAAACCCCAGTAACTATTTATACTTCTATAATATTTCGCTGCACCACCTTCAACTTTTGCATCTCCTTCATACACAACCTTTCTATTATTTTCTTTCATGGTTAAATCATTTCCACCACAATTAACATGCATAGAACACCCATCTGCCACAAATAATTAAAAGGGGGGAAAATGTAAATAATAACATCATACAAGCTCATCTACAGCATTTAACAAAGACAAACAAAATAATTCATAATTGTTAGAATGGCATAAAGTTGACGCTCAATCACTATGGCACTATTTTTTTTCCAAGAGACCTTAATTGTGATCTTGAGCTTTTGGTTACATGGTATGATGGTATTTAGTTCCTACTGGACAGTTGTATTATTGATAACATTTCAGATCTCTAATTTGGAATTTTTTAATCTAAATGATTCTCAGAGTCAATGAAAAAAATAAAAGAAAAGGTTGTGTCAAGTTAGAGAGCATATAAAGTAGCACCAGCATGATTAAAAAATTCATGGCATTACTTTTATAATCTATAGCAAAGGTTAAACCAAAGTTCAAATTACTATCAACATGGATTAAGTGAATCCACTTCTTTTCAGTAACAATTCATCATTTAACAGGTCTGGGAGATCTTGTTTTTGAAAGCTTGGAGCTTCGATTTCTGTGTTCTGAAAATAAGACAGTTCCAAAACTATGCATTACAGTATGAGGAGATTTTGTTCATTACAAAGGAGAAAATTAGGGCATTTGACACAAATGTACTCCAAAAGAGCATACTTACATCTTGGACAATTGAAATCTTTCATGCATGGAAGAATTCTCTTTCTGTTGCAGAATCAGTAAAACAATAATTAGCATTAAGCAGGAAAAATACCCATAAGCTGAAATCTACTTCTCCTTCAGGTCTTCAAAACATAAGCTAATTATGCAACTTTACAAAACAAGGGAAAATAAATAAAATTATAAAAACAAAAGCATCTTACAAGGGGTTCTCCATTGAAGAGCTTCTAAACAAATTTATGTATAGATTCCTAATAAAAGAAAAAATAAAGAAAATTTGTCAAAACTAAAAAAAATTGCCATTTAAATGGGAAGTATGTAGGAGGAAGAAAGAAACTAAAATAGAGTAGTCTTACACAGTATCTTGACAATTCAGATCTCTAATTTGGAATTTTTTAATCTAAATGATTCTCAGAATCAATGAATAAAATAAAAGAAAAGGTTGTGTCAAAGTTAGAGAGCATAGCACCATCATGATTAAAAAATTCACGGCATTATTTTTATAATCTATAGCAAAGGTTAAACCAAAGTTATTACTATCAGAAACATGGATTAAGTGAATCCACTTCTTTTCGGTAACAATTCATCATTTAACAGGTCTGGGAGATCTTGTTTTTGAAAGCTTGGAGCTTCGATTTCCATGTTCTGAAAATAAGGCAGTTCCAAAACTATGCATTACAGTATGAGGAGATTTTGTTCATTACAAAGGAGAAAATTAGGGCATTTGACACAAATGTACTCCAAAAGAGCATACTTACATCTTGGACAATTGAAATCTTTCATGCATGGAAGAATTCTCTTTCTGTTGCAGAATCAGTAAAACAATAATTAGCATTAAGCAGGAAAAATACCCATAAGCTGAAATCTACTTCTCCTTCAGGTCTTCAAAACATAAGCTAATTATGCAACTTTACAAAACAAGGGAAAATAAATAAAATTATAAAAACAAAAGCATCTTACAAGGGGTTCTCCATTGAAGAGCTTCTAAACAAATTTATGTATAGATTCCTAATAAAAGAAAAAATAAAGAAAATTTGTCAGAACTAAAAAAAAATTGCCATTTAAATGGGAAGTATGTAGGAGGAAGAAAGAAACTAAAATAGAGTAGTCTTACACAGCATCTTGACAAGCAGGCTGATCAGGGCCTCGCCATGTAAAGTTATTGTAGGAAAGATCACTGCTTGCAGTCATTAATATTAGGTGTCTTCATGTTGGTAATTATTGTGATATGATGAATTAATAATAAAAGGAAAACCAATTTGAAAAGAGAGAACAAAGATGAGTGTTTATATAAAAGCTTTAGAACCCAAATCGTTCAGGAACATACTATTTTAGTAACTTTTTGGTTTTTGCCTAAATATAAGGTAAAAAAAACTAGTACATTTGGGATGACTTTTTGGCTTTTTACGAAAAAAACGTGCAAAAAATATAGAGAAAAGATAATCTTGACTTTTTTGTTATAATTTGATGGGTTTTTGGTTTTTTTTAGTGACTTTTTAACTTTTAGGCTAAAACATAGAGTTGTTAAACGAGGAGTCGATTAAGAAACTCAACTTTCAATTTCTGCATTAATATATAATGAGCACATAACGATAACATCTTATATAAAAAAATAAAAATAAAGCAATATTGCTAGGATGACAAACAGGAATAAATTCCAGGATAGAAAACGATAAGCATGTGGCCCTTGATAGAGAAGAATGAAGAAAAATCCCCAATTGATTGGGCCACAAGGCTAGGCTTGGTTTGGTTTGGTTTTTAATTCAAGACATGATCATGAGGACTTCAAAGAACAAAACTAGTTTTTCGGTGGCTTAGTGCCAGAGTAAAGAAAAATCTAGAAAGAAACAGTCACAGAAAATTTAATCTTTTGTCAATAACAAAGTAATAATAAATCTAGACAAAGTTTCTGACATTTTCCTCATAATATTTCCTACTTGCAATAAAGAAAACCGTCAGTAAATAGATCTCAAAGGCGATAGTCGGGATTGAATATCAAGGTGTGATAATTCAGAGAAACTAAGTTAGGTACCCGTTTTATAATTTTTGGAAGGGGAAACTGGGGGGCTGTACCTTGACTTTTCGTACCCCCTTTCGGAAGCCGAATAACCCTACAGTATCGGACTCCCGCGGTTCTGAATCTAATCTCACAAGTGCAATATGAAATAGATAATCACCAAAAAGTCCCAATTCGACAAATCTTTTGAAAAATCGATTTTAAATCAAATTGCCAAAAATGGACTGCTTTGCCAGATACAAAGTCGCCACCTAAATATTTTTTAGAGAAATTTAGGAAACCCATGACTCATGCCAAAGGCCACGTGTCCGTCATCACCAAGATTGTCTCGGCTCGGGAACTTAGGTACGAGAGGGAAATGTCATGAATTGAGCACCTCCGCTCGCCTGATCAAAAAATCGGCCTCTACTAATCATGATATGAATCTTATGTACATTATATGCTCTTGTTATGGTTTATTAGGCTAGCATTACTATGTGATGCGCACATACACAAGTATAGACTAACTTGCAAGAATTGGAATATTTCGATTCATGTTTGTTTGCAAAATTGTGTTGAATATGTACCACTTGAAAGAGTATTCTCATATATACATTGCTCAAATTATTCTAATTCAAGCAATTAGCCTTCATCCACAGGCATTCAAGCAATTATAACACGTAAGCAATTAGCCTCATGGCAAACATGCTAAACATGGCAACACTAACACACAAATGCGATATGCTAAAATGAGTAAAGGCTTACCTAGTATTCCAAACCAAAATAAACAAAAGAGTTTAAAAAAAAATGCATGATTCCTAACTATGCAATATGACTAATGCAATACATGCGATATGCAATTTACTAGGCTCAGCTACTAATATGACACACGAAGCAATTTGATAACATGCAGTCTAAGCACGTATTCAAAGAAGTATTAACAAGCAATACGAGTTAGAATGATGAACCGAGTCTCGGTGCATGCAAGACAAGTGGATGCAAAACATGAGATATGCTAAACAAAACGTGATACCCTAAACTAACCATCATAAGCTAGTAAATAAAAAGAAGAAAGGCGTAGGGTTGTGTAGACGTCCCCGAACGCCCCCCGGGAGGACGAGGTCTCCCGTTCCGTTCGATATTGGGCTCACTACAGTTCGGACTCTCAAATTGTCACGGTTCTAAATCTGAACCAAAGAGTCCAAATCCGGAAAATCGTTTTGAGAAAACAGATTTTGAAAGAAGTGCCAAACATGGACTGCTTTGCCAGATACAGAGTCGCCACCTAAATGTTTTATTTTGGGGAAATTTAGGAAACCCTAAACTCGTTTGCCTAAGCGCCCACGTGGTCCGTCAATCACCAAGTTGCCTCGGCTCGGAACTTGGATACGATTGGAAGGTCACTTCGTGAGCACCCCCGTCTCGCCCGATCAAAGATCGCCTCTACTAACCATGATATCTATTTTGAAAAACAATTGTGTGTTCTTAATTCCGGTATAGCCTAGATTTACTATGTGATGCGCACAGACATACAAGTATAGACTGGATCGCCGAATTGGAACAAAACATTTCATGTTTTTTGTTTGGAAAATTGTTTGATTGTGCTACCCGCAAGTAGGCTAAGACGTGGATTTGCCACCCTCAGGTGGGCTTAGAAAACATGATTTTGCCACTATCTAGTGGGCTTAAAACATACATTTGATGAATTGTTCCAATTCAATAACCCAACCTTCACCCACAGGCATTCAGACAGTTATATCATTATAGCACATAGCCTCAATGGTAATGCATGCTATTCATGGCAGTCACTCACACACATGCAAGGATGCTAAGCATAAAACTTACGAGTACTCCAAGCCAAAACAGCAAGCTAATTAGAAAATCCATGCATTGATCTTAACTATGCAAGATGCCTAATGCAACACATGCAAAAGTGCAACTATAGCAGGCTCGGCTATTCTAGACATGGCATATGAAATGCTACAGCTAACATGTATTCAACTTGGAATTGAAAATACAATGCAGTTAGTATGATGCGCCGAGCCCGGTGCATGCAAAACAGATGAATGAATGCAAACATGCTATCATACTGTATGCTAATTAAAACATGCCCTAATCTAACCATCATAAGCGGGTAAATAAAAGGGAGAAAGACGTGGGGTTGGAAGACAAACATCACACACACACACACTTATTACAACATTGCCCTCGCGCAGAGGGTCCGAATAAAATAATATACAGTCTCAAATAATTACAGTCCAAATAAATAATACAGTCCGAATATGTATGAAAATCCTAATTAATTACCAAATTAACTAAGAAAACGATAAACTAGCATGCAAGCCAGGGACTGCCTTGACTCCGCCCCGGATGATGAATGATGCATGCCCGGATTGCCTTGCGCGGAAATCCACGGCGATGCCCCGATTAGCCTCTGTTTGCAATTTATTCTTGGAATGCGTGCCGAGCCCTGGAAGGCTGCTGATTCTTGATTTGCTGCAACAGAGAGCAGGAAAAGGGCATGGCAATGTATTTTCACAAATGTATGTATGCCTCGATCCTCGTGCCATCAATCACGCATATCGATGCATGATGGCCGAGGAGTCGAATTGCACGACTCAATATAGAATGAATGCATATGAAAACACAATAAGACCTAACTCCATCATGGGCAATCCAGAGTGTTGGTGACAGGGAATTGAGACACGTTCCGTCACTCGAAGTACGAAACGTCCCTCGTTTCCCGTGCTCGGGCTAACTCCTATCCCAAGCCCGATGCAATATGCATGATATGCATGACATGCAAATAAGATACAACCTAACATACACAATGTTATGAGATGACATACACGATGCACGAGATAACATGGCATACACAATGCGCTAATATACAACCTAGCATACGCAATGCTGTGAAATGAAATGGCATACACGATGCACGAGATAACATGGCATACACAATGCACTAACATACAACCTAGCATACGCAATGCTGTGAAATGAAATGGCATACACAATGCACGATGGACTTACACCAACATGAGTGGACCTCAGCCACACTCACATAAGAGGCCATGAGATGAAAAATGAGACACTCAAAATGCGTGCACACATGCACGCAAACCGAGGACCGATCCTAAGGCACGAATGCCACTCTACCAAGACATGACTAGCATACGCAATGCTGTGAAATGAAATGGCATACACAATGCACGATGGACTTACACCAACATGAGTGGACCTCAGCCACATTCACATAAGAGGCCATGAGATGAAAAATGAGACACTCAAAATGCGTGCACACATGCACGCAAACCGAGGACGGATCCTAAGGCACGAATGCCACTCTACCAAGACATGACAAGGCACGAAATATGGCATACGAACATGCAAGTTTCAGCACTGAAATATGATGCAAAACAGCCCCGAAACATGGAAACATGGCACCCGATGCATGGAATGAGACTCGAAATGCAAAACTAGGCACACACAATGGCCTATAGCTATACAAAGCATGCATTATTTGAACATGAAGTGTGAAGACAGATTCAAGGCATTCCCAAAACAAGCATATTTACAGTTTTAAGCAAGGCCAAACAATGAACACAAATAGGACTAAGCTAGCATGCAAAAATGGCCCCGTAAGAGAGGTAATGAAGCAAATAGCGGCTGCTGGCCCTAAATGGCCAAGAGCCCTTCAACAAAGTTGAAGAGGGGCTCAAAATGAAGCACTTCACAGTTTACAACAAGCCACGGATCTAAACACAAACAGGCCTAAAACATTGTGCAAGAAATGGGCTAAAAGGGAGACAAAGAAGCAAGTGGTGGTTTCTGGCCTTAAACACAGGAGGGCCCTTCAAAAAAGTTGAAGAGGGGCCAAAACATGGTATTTTACAGTTAATGACCACACCCAAAACAGTGCACATGCAAGCCTAAAATATTATGCAAAATAAGGCCTAAAAAGAGGCTTAAACACAAAGTGTAAAAGGGGAGCCTCAAACAGCAAAAGTCCCTTGATAAAACATGAAGAGGGGGTCAAAATAAGGCCATTTACAGTTCGGACCAAAGCCTAAAAAAATAAGCACAAGGGGTTAACAAATCATGCAAAAATATGGCCAAAAGTGAGATAAAGAGGTAAGTGACAGATGGAAGCCTCAAACAGTGAAGAGCCCTTCAACAATGTTGAAGAAGGGCTCAAAATAAGCCACTTTACAGTTTATCTTGGAGCCCAGAAATGCTTAAAAACAGGGCTAACATATCATGCAAGAATAGGCCCTAAAAGAGAGGTAAAGAACAAAAACAGGGCTAACATATCATGCAAGAATAGGCCCTAAAAGAGAGGTAAAGAACAAGAGTAAAGAAAAATCTAGAAAGAAACAGTCACAGAAAATTTAATCTTTTGTCAATAACAAAGTAATAATAAATCTAGACAAAGTTTCTGACATTTTCCTCATAATATTTCCTACTTGCAATAAAGAAAACCGTCAGTAAATAGATCTCAAAGGCGATAGTCGGGATTGAATATCAAGGTGTGATAATTCAGAGAAACTAAGTTAGGTACCCGTTTTATAATTTTTGGAAGGGAAACTGGGGGGCTGTACCTTGACTTTTCGTGCCCCCTTCCGGAAGCCGAATAACCCTACAGTATCGAATCTGATCTCACAAGTGCAATATGAAATAGATAATCACCAAAGAATCCCAATTTGACAAATCTTTTGAAAAATCGATTTTAAATCAAATTGCCAAAAATGGACTGCTTTGCCAAATACAAAGTCGCCACCTAAATATTTTTTGGAGAAATTTAGGAAACCCATGACTCATGCCAAAGGCCACGTGTCCGTCATCACCAAGATTGTCTCGGCTCGGGAACTTAGGTACGAGAGGGAAATGTCATGAATTGAGCATCTCCGCTCGCCCGATCAAAAGATCGGCCTCTACTAATCATGATATGAATCTTATGTACATTATATGCTCTTGTTCTGGTTTATTAGGCTAGTATTACTATGTGATGCGCACATACACAAGTATAGACTAACTTGCAAGAATTGGAACATTTCGATTCATGTTTGTTTGCAAAATTGTGTTGAATATGTACCACTTGAAAGAGTATTCTCATATATACATTGCTCAAATTATTTTAATTCAAGCAATTAGCCTTCATCCACAGGCATTTAAGCAATTATAACACTTAAGCAATTAGCCTCATGGCAAACATGCTAAACATGGCAACAGTAACACACAAATGTGATATGCTAAAATGAGTAAAGGCTTACCTAGTACTCCAAACCAAAATAAACAAAACAGTTTAAAAAAAATGCATGATTCCTAACTATGCAATATGACTAATGCAATACATGCGATATGCAATTTACTAGGCTCAGCTACTAATATGACACACGAAGCAATTTGATAACATGCAGTCTACGCACGTATTCAAAGAAGTATTAACAAACAATGCGAGTTAGAATGATGAACCGAGTCTCGGTGCATGCAAGACAAGTGGATGCAAAACATGAGATATGCTAAACAAAACGTGATACCTTAAACTAACCATCATAAGCTAGTAAATAAAAAGAAGAAAGGCGTAGGGTTGGAAGATATACACATTATTACAATATTGTGCTCTCACGAAGGAGAGTCCAAATAAACTAACTAGATAACTAATTACCTAGCTATTGCAACAACAAATAAATAATTTAGCTAAACTACTCAACTAATTATTACAAACCGAATTAATTAACTAATCTAACTAATTAAAATAATTACAACATGAGACGAATTAGCTATTCTAACTAATTAATTACAAAGCCACTATTTTAAGCACAACACTAATATACTTATAACACGGATCCCGAGGATCAATGGAAGGCTCATGCATGAATGTGGTTTCCACCCGAAAAAGCCAAAAACACTCATGAATGTAGTTTCCAACAGGGGTGTAGGGTTTGAAAGGCTCAAAGCTGTAGCATTTCGCTGAGGACTTCGAGCACTTGACAAGCATATAAACTCATCATTGGGTTTGCAAGCAATGACGTCCAAGTCGTAAGGGCGGTCAAAAATGGGGAGTCTACAGGGGCATTTGGGATAATGCATTGTGAATGATGATTCTACAAGAAAGTTTTATTCTTTTTATTACCAAATGTAGTTGATTAATTTGCTAACATTTATACGCCGGCTACTAATTTTGTTCAACAAGATCACAAAGACTAAAAAAGTGCAATGAGTTGCGACTCAACTTGCTGAACTACACGCACACAAATTCCTGAAAATCAGCATTCAAGATAAAAACATACATACTAAATCCATCCTTCAAGATTGAATCTGGTACATTTCCCCTTAGCATGTTGCCGCTCAAAAACCTATTCAAAGCAACACATAGTTAATAAACTACATACCAGAGTATGATATTGATGACAGTGAAATAATGCATGAGGTTAACAATTCTAGGTCAAAATAATTTAATAAAAAAACTGTTGGAAGCCAATAGGAAATTAAATGTAACAAATTCTGTTTCGAGAAACCACTTTGCCTTGTCTTAGTAACTTTTAGATCCATATGAGAAAAAACAAAGTACTGTTTAAAACATAACCAAATGCAACATAAATTTTAGGCTTCATACTTACACAAACTTCAAATTCTTTCCATTTATGTCATTTGGAATTTCTCCCACTAACCTGTTAAAACTGACATCCCTGTCCAAATCACAAAACAAAGATATAGTTAACAAGAAAGGGAGAAAGAGCATGTACCATAAAGGCTATTAATGGTCAAGTGTGTTAGATAAAACATTTGTTTATATACAATTTCCAAAGACAGAAACTTTATGGATGCAGGAACAAATGTGGAAGAGTGAGAAGAGGAAAAGTCCTCAACAGAAGCAAATGAAGGAATAATAAAGAAAAGAAAAGAAGAGAAAGAATGGGCCAGCATATGCAGTAATTCCTCCCAAGTACTCGAGACTGAAAGAGAGAACTGAGATGAACTTTAACCTACTACAAAAATGCTAAAAGTGAGCATAAACCTCTTCACCAAAAACTACAATATGAATTGGCCAACTAGGAAACCAAAACATGTTTGGAGCACACTCTGAGAAAGATCAAACAATTCTTCAGTCTTCAACATGTTATAACTTATAATAATTCCATGAACCACATGTAATGCCTTTGTCAATCCAATTTACGCATTACACTTTCAAATTTAGGATGATATAATTTAAAACTACTCCAATTGAAGAGAAAGAACATTAGATTTTTATTTTATTCTTATTTTCTGATGTCAGGCAATATGAGAAGAGCTCCAATTTCCACTTTGTCTGCATCTTCTTTTCAGGGGAAAATAATTTTCTTCATTCAAATCCAAACAACATATATGCATATATATTTAGGCGAGTACAATACTTTGTTTCAGCAAACCATTACTCCCAAAAAAAAAATATATTAGCAAACTAGATATTATGAAAGAGAATATGAGGAGGAAAAAAATGAATATGAGGGAAATAATATACTAGATTGAACTTGAATAAGCAGGCTGTACATATTAACCAAAAGCATGTTAGAAGTATCATATTCATATCTATTTCATGCACCAGACAGACAGATACGTGGTAATTGCACCTGCATCATGTTAGCCTCAACTTTAATGTTCATTTGTATTGATTATTACGTTGTCTATGTTTCTAGGAATTATTTGATTCTTTCTGTTTCTGCTTTCTTTTTTCCAAGAAAAACAAGTGTTTTCAATCTTAAAGAGGGTACATTATTTGATTCTCTTCTTAGAAGCAAGTTGAAGGTCTAGACACTCAACTCATTAGTGGAAGATTACCAAACCAAACCAAACCAAGCCTTAAATCTCATCAAATGGGGTCAGCTAAACTCACTAGCGGGAGATTATAAGAAAAAAAAATATAGCATTTGTTTCGTATTGAGTGCAGTACCATTCTAATTCCAGCCAAAAAAAATTGCTTTGGTCGTGTAATCAATTATACATTGATGAAAACACTGAAAGTCAAATAAAAATGATTCACCAAAGCTTAACATGCTTTACTTACAACATTTGCAGATTCATCATTTTCCAAATATATTTCGGGATTTCACCAGAAATGTTGCAGTTTCTCAAAACCCTAAATACAAAAAAAATGAATAAAATTAAATTCAGGATGAAACTCACCTATACACACTATAAATATTGAACATTATAAATTATATAATCATCAAACATACAATCTTACTAGCCCTGTATTGTTGCTCAAGGTAGGAAATTCCTGAGCCGTCCCATTTATGTCACTGATTCTCCTAGTCAAAGAGATCACACCATGAGCAATTCCATCTACAGTACACTATCAATCAAATAAATCAACAAAATAAGTAAACCGCCTAAAACTACTTTGTTGCTATAAGAATGTTTTGTACTCACAATTCAGTTAATTGATTCAAGAGGGATATGTTTGATGGAATGGGTCCCTCCAATCCACTTCCATGCATTTCTCTTCATCAACACAAATTAGAATTGAATGGTTATATACAAATAATGGAAAAACCATCACTGCTTTTAGCCGATCTGAAACGGCACTTTTCGGAAGATCAGAATCTTACAATCTCGTAAGTTGTTTCCAGTTCTGTATGAAATCAGGTATTGCTCCGCTGAAGTTGTTATCATTTATCCTACTGCATTGTGCAAGAAACTGGTGCTGAACTGACACCATCATTGAAATAATATAGGAAATCATAAGATATTGTAGAAGCTTACAAATCAGTCAAATTTATTAGCCCAGCAAATGAAGGTGGCAGATTTCCACTCAATCGATTCGAGGACAATACCCTGAAGTTGCATTAACATGTAGCCAAACAAATGAGTTGGATATTCTTTCATCCTTGACAAATTTGATTCAAGGAGTAAGTGTAAGTAAACAAGGAATGACATGTCTTACAAAGTTTTCAAGTTACTTAGTTTCCCGAGTTCAGGAGGAACACTGCCAGAAAATTGGTTTGCTTCAAGACTCCTGGATCAAAATATCCATTGAGATTGCTAAAAAAATAAATAAATAAATAAAATCACTACTACAATTTCTTAAAAATGTGTGAGCAAAAATGATGCCACTATTGTTGGGATGTAAATATATACCATGCTGTTGAGATTAAGAAAAATAAAAGCACATAAAATGAGATAGAAGGCATGCTTGGTCCAGTTTCAGTTCTCAATGGTTTCAAACTTCAATTGTCACACTACTCTTCAGAAAGAAAGTTGATAAGCAAAAATTGGAAAACATACAAGTATGTGAGAGTGGAAATATTTCCCAGTCCCATAGGAATTTCCCCTGATAAGCGGTTTACAAGAACAGAGCTGCAAAAAAATTCCACGTTTAATTTTGTTTGAGAAGAAACTTATAACTAGAGAGAGAGAGAGAGAGAGCTTACATAAAATTCAATTGCATAGAAGCCCATTCATTTGGAATTGTCCCACTAAGGTAATTGTAAGCCAAATCACTACAAATGAGATACAACAGAAATAGATTCAGTATACCAAGATTTTCATTTCGTATCTTAGGAATCACATGTGAAACTAGTGTTAAAACTTTTGAACATCTAGCATGACAATAGCATTTGAAAGATCCTCACATATGTTGGAGGTAGTGAAGCTTCACCAGTTCAGGCGGAAGCACACCAGGAAGACTATAACCTTTAAGCACACTGCAAATTGGGAAAAAAAGAAAAAAGAAAAAGAAAGTGTAGTGTTAAAGTTCATACATGGTTGCCATTGAGATATTAGTTAGTAAACAATAATATATATTAACAGATTTGGGGTTTTAAACAAAACTGAAAGGGACTTACTCAAACATTATTATGAACCACTTTTGCCCATTGCTTTATTTTCAAAATTAATTCATCAATAACATCCATTTTCACCTAAAATTTTTTAAAAATCATACGCTATTGACTACTGAGGATGGAGGCACTATCTAAATGGTTGTATTGAAATTCATACTGAGAATGACAATCTGGATGGCACGTTGCATACTTACAATTTCAAAAGGAGAAAAAGATCTTATGGCAAGAATAGAACGCAAGTTACGTAACTGGGTAACCCTATATAAGAGTTTCCTTCATTTCAAATATTCTTATTTTTTGTCAAACATAATAGGATAATAACACCCTTGTTTGAGGTTGTATCAGAGGTTGCTCATGGAAAATATAATTTATCGACACTTTTAAGATATGATTCCTTATGGAACTTTTGTTTGTATGACAATAAATATTTTGTACAAGCCATATGAGCAGGAGATATTTTTTTGACTGGACATGGGTAGGAGATGTAGAACCACAGAAAACATAATTATGTGTAAGATTTAAAGCAACATCATTTGCTTTAGCAATAAAATGTAGAAATTATACATGCTTACAACATGACAGTAGGTGTCATTCACAAAATTGCATTGGCACTCAATATTGCTCTGGGATCCCGTTGGCGCCTGTGGTGTTACTACCCCAACCATTTTAACTTGGCATGAATCACTGTTGAACTCCCAATAATTTGCACCCATTGTAGTGGCCATTTGCTGGAGAGCAGCCACTAGATAACATATGTGAATGTGTAAAAAATGAACTCGTAAAAATCAGTAATAGGAAAATCAGTATGTTAAAAACTTATACCAAAAGTCATAGTAAGTTGAGTAAACAACCCAACTAACTGCAGATTCTGCTAGTTAAAATTCATTCATAGTAGTCACAGAAAAATAAAGATCAGTTTCACCATTCTTCAAATCTCATCTCAATTGCCACTAGGGAAGTTCAGAAAAACCATTAAAAATATGCAAGGAAGTTCACAGATAATTTAAGAATGACCAATTATAACTTATATGTGACTATGTTCTGTATTATCATTATAATTATCTGAGCTAAATGAAGGCCTATCCCACTATTACATCCGGTTGGCTTGGAAGGTGCGAAAAGAAAAGACATGATTGTGGTCTCCCATCTAGGTGAAAAAGAAAAGAAATGATTGCGTTTTCTCACTACCATGTTTGGATGGGTAAGAAAGGAACGCATGTGAGAGAGGGATATGAGCGAGATTTATTTTTTTTCCTTTGTATTTTAAGAGATAATCTTGGTATTATAAATATTTTACTACCAATCAATTTGTTTATCATCAAATCTCACCACTTTGATAAGAAATGAAATATGCCTAGTAAGAGAATCCTCTTTCTCACCATTTCTTATCCTGTCTCACCATTTCTCAGTCAACTTACAAACCAAACATGAGAAAAGAGTTTACTTTCTCATCATTTTTTATCATTTCCCACCAAATCATTTTTTATCAGTTTACTTTCACACGGCATAACCAAACTAAATTCTGTTAAAGGCCAAATCAATGAGGGAAAATAACCTCTCTCTCTCTCTGTCTATTCTTTCTTTGAGTAAGCAATGAAAAGCATAACCAAATTAATAAAATGCCACAAAAGGAAAATCACAGCAAATTGGTGATCAAATTGGACCAAACCTATCCAAAAAACTACGACCAGTTAGAATTTAAAGGTTCCAAACCAATCAACATGCCCTGAAACATGTTAGCATATTCAAGAAAACCAAATCAATTACCAAGTTAATCTGTTATTTTATAAACTAAATGAACCCTTCTTGTTTCTGAGTCGAAACCCTTCACTTCCCAATCACACAACACATTATCTCTATAATTGGAAAAGGGAACAAAATCAGAGAAAAGAAAATCCCTAAACTCAACCTTACAGTCCTCCACTTCGTTCTCGATCAAATCGGAGAAAATAAAATAGAATTTCTAAATCTTTTGTTTCCTGTTGTCTTGATTTTCCACAGACTACTCAACTAAACTCAACCCCCCCAAAAAAAAAAAACTCCAAATTTCTATTTTCCACTGCTTTTCTACATCTTCTTGGCACCCAAACAGGGAAAAAAAGCCAAAACAAAACAAAAAGAAGCAAAAAACAAAAACAAAAACAAAATGGGAAATCTGTTTACCTTCTTCCTCGGGCAACTTGGACTCCGCAAACTTCAATAACAAGAAGCAACTCAGTGCAAGAATCAAAAACAGAGCAGCCTTTCTGGGGAACATGTTCTTGAAATAACTTATATAAATTATACATATGTGCTTGTATGGAGCATATATATAGACCCATGTAAAGAATCGTCAAGAGAAGAATTGTGAAGGTGAGACCAGAGCTGATCTGAAAAAGTAGAGCTAGAGACAAAATATCCCGAAAGAAAGTGCTGTTGAGAAATGGAAATAACGAACTAATGATGGAAGCAAACAGGACCTGGTCAAGTTGGTAGTTGGTGTTTTCTAACTAGTTCAAAAAAAGAAAAAGTGTATTCCATCTCACCCAAAAAGAGTTCTGTCTCTCCATACCAGTAAGCTGTAGTATCCCTACCATTACAAGTACACCCCTCATCATTACAAATACACAGTTACGGCGATTTGTTTCAAGGATAAGGTTGGATGGGATTATCATAGAGAAAATTATTAATACAGAGATTAAAAAATTTATATTTATTTGATAATTGATACTGGCAATAGTTGAAAAAGTCATATTTATTTGATAATCAGTACTAACAATTGTTTCTCTTTACTTTAAGGGATAGGAATGAAATTAATTATTTAAAATTTTACAAATATTCTTATTATATTACTATCAAATTTAAATTTATATTAACTAATAAATGCATTATATATTTTAATATTAAAAATTATATTTTATAAATATTTTTTGGGTACTATTTTATTTTTATAATATAATTTTTTTGGGTATAAATATTATTATTCTATTATATTTTTATATTAAATTATTTTGATATAAAGAATGGTGGGTGAAATAATTAAAAAAATGATAGAGAAAATACCATAGTAATCAAGTAGAATAAGTAAATTAGATAGGATAACAGAGGGTAAAATAATAAATTCTCCTCTAATCCCAAGGAATTGTTTTTGGAAAATTCAATTTCCATACATCAAATGTTCTTTGTGTACATTATTTTTCAAAACACACCCTTAATGAATTTGAAATCTCATTTTTTACTTCATACACAACTTATTCTACCAAAAATGCCCCCATCTCCTTCCTTCTTTACACCACCATTACCACTTGCCATCTCCGATCGTCTCTAACCACCACTTTCGGCTGCCGTCTTCCTCTACCATCTCAGCTTAATCTCTACCGCCAACGACCGATAACAGTCCTAACGGCAAGGAGGGAGATAACTTAGGCAATGTGAACCCGAAAGAAAATAAAAATCCTAATTTACAATTGTCGATAGAGATTGAAGAACACTGTTGGTTTTGGTTCCAATTGCCAAAGACTTGATTGCATATTCCAACTTTGAAATCATAGTGCAATTACAAGCCATTGAAGCATTGCAGAGTAAGCATCATCATATATAATATAGGCATTTAATAAGAAATGTGGGGTATGTTTGGTTTGAGTTTGGGAGATGAATTTTAGAGGTAAAAAGTACGAAAATTTGTTTGGTTTGGTTTTTTTTAAAAGATGTTTTGGAAAATTATTTTGAGAGAGAGTTTTGAAAAAAGTGATTGATTTGATGTGTATGAGAGAGAGATTTGTTTGGAAAACTTGTAAACCAAACAAGTTTTGGAAAAAAAATTTAAGAAAATTTGTTTGGTTTGATTACTTTTGAAAACTTATTTGTAGAAAATTTTTCCCAAAAATTTTTAGGAAACACAAACCAAATAAGGCCGTGATTTTCTCAACAACCACATCAACAACACCCTTTAATATCCCAATAACTTCAAGGGTCAATAAGCTTATTTTCTCTCAAATATGGATTATTGATTCTTTTTACTTTTGACACTAATTCTCATCCAGTGCAGACATGTTATGATTGCTTCGTTCGCTTCCAATTAATGTTGAATATGATTCTTTATCAAACAATTATTGCATTTATCATAACAATTATTGTTTCCTCTTCAACCAAATCAGATGCTTAATGCGTTCAAACCTATGGAACCAGCCAAACGAATTAGAATCGCGTCTCATATCCCTTCAGGTTCTCTAATGGGCGATAACTTAGGGTTCCCATTGGAAAGATGAGGGTATTTCGATATTTTTATTTTAAGACAAAAATATAATATAAAAAAGATTTATTAAGTATGTAGACAGAGCTAATTTGATGTGTAGAAATAGAATTTCCCATTGTTTTTGGGTGCCTCTATTTACACACCACCTTTCATCTCAAGGCACGCCATTAATTAGTTTATTTTTTATTACAATATTAACCTAATGTAAAATGACTACAAAGGACTATGATACACGCCTTATGTAAAATTACCATAAAGGACAATAATGAATACAATACACACCTCTCTTTTGAAACGTTATTTATGCATCTTCTCTATCAAGAACCCAAAAACCCTGAAACAAAAACCAAAAACCCTTATGATGTGTTTGGTTGGGGGATTTGAGGAGGAATTTGGAAGGGAAAATGAAAAAGATAAGTGAAATGTGAATAAAACATACATATATTTCACCTAGTTTCACACATATTTTTCCTTTCCCTTTCCCTTTCCAAATCCCTCCCCAAATCCTCCAACTAAACACAGCATTAAAGAAACAATAAAAAATATACGTATTATTGAAGATTTTGATTAGACTAAATGATAGATGTATTTAGCAATATTGGTTTGGAACAATGGAGCAAGGAAAATGTTAGGCTCCGTTTGGTAAGCATTTCAAAGTATAGTTCTATCCATTAATTTGAGTGTGTTGTTTGTTTGGAGTTTTCAAATCATAATTCTACACCCATTCTCAAAACTCAATTCAAAACATAATTATTACTTTTCAAAACTCGTAACCAAACACATAATTCAAAACTTTTTTCAAAACTCAATTCAAATCAATATTTTTATTTTTTAAATATTTTAAATATTTTAAAAATATTTTAATTTTTTTAAGATTTTAAATATTTAAATATTTAAATATGTTAATTTTAATTTTTTAAATTTTAAAATATTTTATAAAAATAAATTCAAACTCTATTTTATAAAAATATTTTTAAAATATTTTAATTTTTTTTGTTATGTATTTAGTTACGATTTGAGTGTAGAGTTGTGAAAGTAGTATAGAGTTTCAAGTTATGTGTTTGGTTATGAGTTTTAAAAATATTTGTTTAATTGAGTTTTGTTTTATGTGTTTGGTTACGATTTAAGTGTAGAGTTGTTTTTAATTTTAAAATATTAACATTTTAAATTATTTAAATTTTTACGATTTAAATTTTTTGAATATTTATTTTAATTTTTTACTTATTAAATTTTTTAGATTATTTAAAATATTTAAATATTTATGATTTAAATTTTTTGAATATTTATTTTGAAAAAAAATTATTTCCTTTGTAATATTTTCAATTAAAAAATTGATTAATGTTATTTTCTGTTAATAATAATTTTTTTTAATTGAATTTTAAAAAACGTTTGGTTATGAGTATTGATCAGAATTTTTAATGATGTGAAAGTAGTGTGTTTTGTTATGAGTTATATAATTTGAATTAAGTTTTGAAAACTCTTTCCAAAACTTATAACCAAACAAATTTTCTTACTTCACATATCAAATCAAACTTTCAAAATTCAATTCTACACTCAATTCAAAACTCAATTTAACACTCTATTCAAAAATCATAACCACACAAATTTTCTACACTCAAATTATAATTCTACAACTCATAAACTCAAAATACAACTCATACTCTCAAATTATATTTACAAAACTCTACCAAACACAACCTTAGTTTTTCAATTTTTCTTTTCATTTTCGTGTACTTGCTGAGTGGTAAACCGTTTGTATTGGTTCAGATATCCATATTGGAACAATGTACTCATGTTTGACTATCAACAATCGAACAAGTTCTAATTGTTTGATTTTCTAGTGTCAAACATAGTCTACATGTTCAGTTAATAAGTTCCGAACTTATAGCATTTGTTCGGTTTTCAACAGTCGAACTTTTGAATTTAGCTCGACTCTGTATTTCCAAACACTTATAACAAATTTTTTTTTGGTTTTTCTAGAACTGTGCATCGATGGAGGGGGTCGTGAACTAGGGGAGAATGGAGTGAAGTCGTCTTTAGCACGAATAGAGACCAGTTTAGACTAGTTTAGATTGGTTCCCAAACCTTTGGGATGACAACGAAACAGAGAATGGAGGGGAACATTATGTGTGTTTTTGAAGTGGAGGTGTAGAACATTATGTGTTTTTGTGGGGTGTACGAGTAAGTAAGGGTAAAGATGGAAGATTATGAGTGGGGTGTGTGAGTAAGGGTAAAGATGGAAGATTGTGGTGCGTATTGAGCAAATTTTTTATTTATTAAATTATTAAAGGTATGCCTTGAGTAGTGGTGTGCCTTGAGATGAAACGTGGTATGTAAATAGAGGTACCCATTGTTTTTCTAATACCATCTCCTATGGGGACTACTAATCCCATCTACAAAGGCATATCATAGTCCTGAGATATTGTTGTTAGTAATGGGCGCCCATGTGGCATGACCATTTGAACATAATTTGAATCTTATCCAAATAGGTTTTGAATTAAATTCAAACCTATTTAGGATAACCACTCAGGATATAGATATTATCAGTTTTAACTGATATGGATAAATAATAATAATATAATATATATCTGATATATGGTTATGGGTAACCTAAGAGAGAAACAACGTAGGTTTTGTTTTCTACCCATAAACTTACTCTCTCCCAAGAAACAACGATCAAGTCATTTGCACTGTGGTTTGTGTGGGTGATATTCACCATTGTAATATCACCCCACTGCTGGGATTGATTGATTAGATTCTAGAAGCACGTGATTTATCCACGAGGTTTTAGATCAAATGAGGTATGATCTAAACATTTTATTCCGCTGCATGTTTTGTGTTTTGATTTACAATTGTGAATCCCCTTCCCCATTTTGCAAACAAACGCAATATTAGTAGATCTCACATCTATCCCTATCAAATCCCATCTTCTATAGCCCAAAACAAACGGATCCTTATCGTTTTCTTATGGGGTATTTGGAATACACTATATAGGTATACTACTTTCTTTTTTTTTTGAATTACAATATCTTTCTATTTTTTTATACATCTTTTCGTAAAAAGTCAAAAAGTACACTTATTTAAATTATTCCAAACAACCCCTTAATATAAATTATTCCTTATAATTTAAAAAATTGCATACCACACTATTAGTTTCCAATAGCATAGCAGATGATTTTTTTATTAATAAATTATTAAACCAACTAACAATTTTTAGTTATGTCATAAACAAATTTTTAATTAACAATTCAGGTAATTTTATTATTATATAAGAGAATAGTTAGAATTTTTTTTTATATATATTAATTATGTTAAATAAAAAATACTACTAATGAGATATTTGTAATCTTTATAATCACAATAACAATATATATATATTAAGCACACCTCAGTGG